TCCACCAAATCACCCCATAGACACATTCACAGATTGCTCCAAGCTTCTTCCTCCGCCGCTGCTTCCGATTTTAAACCGACGAAGAAAGAAACTGTCTATTTCGACGGCGGAGCTCACTACGGAGATCTATTGGCAAATCTCGTCTTAGGTCTAACCATCCTATGGCTCCCACTAACCCTAGCCGCCGTATCTCGAGCGTTTAACCTCCGTTACAGGTTCACAAACCTCCGCGTGACGGTGATTTCGGGACTCACCGGAGAAGACCGGAGTGATTTCTCGTACAAAGTGATTAAAGACGTTCAGGTTGTTCCGAGATTCATCGGAGAATGGGGTGACATCATCATCACGTTGAAAGACGGGACGAAAGTGGATCTCAGAAGCGTTCCTAAATTCAGAGAAATCGCTAAATACTGCTTATCAATGGCTGATCAACCTGTCGTTTTGAAAGAATCTGGTGCAAAAGGCTTTTGACAAATTTCTCCATTGTCAACAAAAAAGAACAAAAGCTTGTTATGTTGTGATTTTGTTATTGATTTCAAAACTTTTCTGTGTCTTTGTGTTCTCTATGTATTTCTCAATGACAGAGACGATCATGTTCGTAAAACGGCGGGTAGTCTTCTTCTAGATTAGAAAAACGGTATAGCGATTTTCTTTCTTTATAGTAAGAAAACAAAACGGGACGATGTGTAACTCAATATAGCAGAGACGGTGGGATGTTGCTAATATTGAAACTCAATCTTTTAACGGCCCAATGATTTACTAGCCCGTGTGGTCCAAGACTCAATGGGCACAAACAAAACTTTTATTACACGATGGAATGAATGGCAAGCACTCTATCCAGATTCATGGAGTCAGTGATTAAAGTGAAAAACAAACGTTTAGTGACAGTTGTTTTACGACTCTTATGCAAAGCATAATGATAATTACAAACTTATTATTTTGTTTTAATTTGAAAGAAAATGTATTAGTTTGAGTTATAGTGAACAAAACTAATAAATATTGTTATTGCAAATAATTTTTTTTTAAAATTGTCACACTTTTGAGATCTTTATAAAAATGTCACTTTTTCAAAAAAAAAAAAAT